ATATACAATAGATGCGCTCTCCCTGTATTTAGCTCAGTGATGTTAAGGTTAAGCGTAAGGATATGATGAATATGACTTGCACTTTGTATTATGAAATGAATAGAAATGAGAAGAAAAAAAAATTGTCGCGATAAATTGTACTGACAAATTGACACCTTCTACTTTCAAAAGTTTAGAAAAAGATATGGTTTGAATTTCAATTTAAAAATACAATGAAAGAATTTGCAGACATTTGAGAGATAAATTGTACACCACTAGTAGCTATAAAGCACACGGCATTTCGTTTCAAAACGTACATGATGATAACAAGACTCAAGAGGTTAAAACTTTGCATTGCATCACTGAGGATGCTATGACAACAATTTCCACATTTGATGCATGTGATATGTCCAACGTTTCACATAGTATTAGTAAGGGCGATATGTAAATAATATTCCCAACTCTTATATCTTCATCGCATTAATTACTGTCTTAGCCAACAATATTTTAAGTTAATTAAAGGTAACTAAATTACCCATTAACCTCAATTGCAGATGAATGAATGTTTTAATCAAGTTAGATGCACAGAAATATACATTTTGAATGGTGGTGAAGAAAGAGCTAGTTATAAATCTTAATTCTTGAATCAATCCAATCGATGATAAATATCAGTTAATGATATGTCAGTACAGTTTTACCAGATTCTCTTGTTAAACTTCCTGATTAAGTCCTAAGCTCATTTTTTGCTGTTTACTGTGGAATTTACGTTGGCATTTGGTTTACTATTATAGCAGTACCAATGCTTGAGACGTCTTTTTGTACTTCTGCTGCAGGTTCACAAATTTCTGTGTCTGAACCATATATGTCTATTGCTGTTTCACGATCGGACGTTCCATAGATATCTTGACTCGCTTCTGTTTCTGGTTCATATGATCCATAAATATTTCGACATGAGGCTCCAATGGCTGGAATAACTGCTACTAAACTACTATCATAAAGATTTTCAACCGTCGTATTTTCAGTTTCATAGATGTTTTGCACATCGGCGATAATGCCCATGCCATACGCAGTTGTAACACGTGTTGCGTCATACAGCTGTTGAGCTATTTAAAGAAAATGAATAATTCAGTTCAGCATTTTATCAATAATTTTCCTGTGTTTTTGAACAATATTCTTGCGGTTTTGCATGCACGCAAACTAGTAATTAGAACTTTTTTTGTTCATGATAAAAATGTTTTATGAAATTGTTTTATAAAAGAAATGGATCCATTATATAACAACAGAACGAACTTCTGCATGTGGAAGAGAAACTCTTTCTCTTGATACAAGAATAGGCTTCAATGTATGAAAGATTGGTGTTATAACTCAATTATTTAAGAGAACAATAGGCTTCATTGTGTTAGATACTAATACGCTACGAAAGACTTAATTTACAATTAAGTTTTACATATACATGTACCTGTCTTAGTTATTGGAGCGTCAAAATCGTGTAACTCGGAATACACCGAGTCGGCAGCATGAATATTCGTAGCAGCAGTATCTGTGTGTCTGTATTAAACGATAGACAAAATGTGTGATGGGAAAATATTAATGTACATCCTAAAGACAATAGCAAATGGAATTATCGACCCCTCTCTCTCTCTCGTCCTTTTCTGTGGAAATATTAGACGTTTGAATTTTTAGTAAACACATATTTGTCGGACAAAAACATCTATAGGTCTGATATCTGCAAGAGCATGCAGGTAAAGCCCTCTTTTCTTGATAGCAGAGGGGCATTTTTAAGCCAACTGCTAAACTAGTTTTGAATTGAAACTTACTCGCCATATCTGACTTTTCTTCTTTTTTTTCTTTTCCTTCTTCTTCTTCTTCTTCTTCTTCTTCTTTTGCGATGCTTTCTTTGCCTTTCCTGTCTTACCTTGCTTTGCAGTTTAAGTGTTCGTTTTCTATTGGAAATAAAATTTGATAAAAATTTTGCTGGTAGTCTATTGTAATTTTTGTTAATATATAAGAAAGACTAAAAACGCTCGTTTGAAAGACCACGAAAAAATTTGCATCAGGCCCATCAGCATGAGCAATATTTTTAATGATTTGTTTGTAATGGTCTCATCTTAGTCTACGCTTGTAGACCAAATATATATGTCAATTTGTTCAAAATAGAGGGAAAAGAGTTCTTATATATTGGCTCAGATTTCTCTGACGTTTAAATTTGAGAATTAACGTGGCCAGCCCACAAATTTGGTCCTCCTATGTGAATTTTTTTGTGTTCACTTACTATAAAACAAAAGATTAACACTTGGCAGCTGTCTACGCCACTGAATTTGAGTGTCAAAAACTTCCAAATAATTTTTACTCAAACAGCGTGACACGTAAGACAACATTTGAATATTAATTGCTATGTGTGACTATCAGTTATTATAAAAATTTAAAAAGGAAAATCTTTCTCCATAATTAAATACTTCTGTAACTTCTGCAGAATAATTATTAAACTTCTGCAGAATAATTATTATATGTATTTTTACATGCATATGTTTCCATAGAACACGTATGAACGTTCAAAAAAAAGAAAAAAATGCGTGACAAGCGCGAGCGCGAAGTGCACATATTTCCAAGCATTTTCGAGTTTTCTCAATTTTTGCAAGTTTTTTTACTAATCAAAAAAAAACCTACTAAGTAAGTTCTGGAATCTTGATCCATACACGCCAATAAATACGGTCAAAATTCAGGTACTAAATGTAGCGTGCTAATTCCTTTGTCGCTGGGAAACATGCTAAACATTGATTATTTTTTAGCAGAGCACTTTTTTACAAAAATTTTGTTCAAATGTTGTCTTTCATGTAGCATTCTTCAATCGCAGCTTATTTTCAAGAAAAACCCAAAACTACAAATGGTAGATACTTTTATGAAATTTTAAAACACTTGATGGGTGTTCAAAACCTCTACTCTTGTCTAACTGAAGAGCTTTATTAATTTATTCAGGCTTTACCTAGTATATGGTAGCATTCCATTATTCCATAAAATAATAAGTATGTTAACTGCAACCAGTACTAACACAAAAACAGACACTCCTGCTATCCCAGAGGCTTTAATTCCATCTGAAAGTAAAAGACAAACGACTCAGATCTTTTTCAAGAACTCGGCAAAAAAACAAGGAAAGACCAAATTTCTTCTATACATTTTATTTTTTATAATTTTCCAATATCGACAGCGTAAAAAAGACAGGCTCTTATTCTTTTGTACTTTCGATTTTTAAGCATAGCCTTATAATCTATGTACACTTTTTTACTAATTTTGTTCTTATATCTAAACTAAACAATGCTACTAGCTAAATTTACTAATCCGAAAGTTATATTTGTACTAATCATGATTAAATTTTAATTGTTTTTTAGCTAATGTTAATATTTTTTGAAACAGATCTTTTTATTAGCTAACTAAGACGTTTTTCGACTTTATAGTTCTGAATGTATGAACACTAAGCATCTTCATCATTGTTGACCTTGCACCTTACGCTTAATGAGGTCAAAAGGCAGAAGAGCTTAGTGCATTGTCACGGAACAAGAACATACGGAAGAGTCACTGATATCGGAACCTTTGATGTTTTTGTCCTCGCGCATGTCGTGCCGCGCATGGTGGCCGCCATTATTCCAGCCAGATGATTAGGGGTTTTGACTTTTTCCAAACCTTTAAAATGATCTGAAGTCATTCTTAACTCAAAATATTCTTGAATTCATTATTAAGTATTGACGTGATGGAATTTTAATGGTTGGAAACAAGTGAGAAATCATAATCATCTGGCTGGAATAATGCCGACATGAGGACACGTTATACACCTGAGTGGCCCTTCTATATAATCATTATTCTGTGGCATTGTGGTGTTTGTATTCACACAAATGTAAGCATTCCAATTTGCCTACTTTTGTTAGCTAGTCTGCTGCTGTTTCTCATAATGCATTACATGCTTTTACTTTAAAAAAGACCTTAAATCTTTTATAAATTCTTAATCGGATCCTAAGGAGTTCGATGGATATAAAAAAACCAGCAAAAGAAGAGTTTTAGAGCTAATTTTGAGGGAGTACGGAGGTTTCACTTATTGGGTTACTACAACGGCAAAAGGCATCCCGAGCTTTTTCTTGATTTTCTGAACTGCAATCGTGTATAATACACAGATATATGCATGGAACAGGATATTTTAGCATCGTAGAAGATTCTTCATCAAACTTTCGCCTGGCTAATGAGTTCACAATGTACTGCCTGCATCGCCATTTTAACGTCATTACGCATAAGGTCTATTAAAATTGTTGACAGAAACTTACCTTTTGCTGTTTCATCTTTTGTTGCAGTCCGTCCTGTAATGATGATAAAGCTTCACAGTTTAATTGCATACTTGATTACTTTCTGCTGCAACAAACTGGGCAATAAGATGCTAAGTTTTTTTAAATACACACGTGCACTGCAATTTATTAGCTAAAAAAACAAACTATCCGTCCTAATTAGAATTGTATTTTGACGATGTGCTACGACAATTGCTGATGGCAAACTTACAATAAAATTAGTAATGTTTTAGAACAACAAAATTACAAAATATTTAAAAGAGTTGTTCTATAATTATCAAGTAAAATTTTTTACTAAGGACTACATTTCCGTTGCTGTCGTGCATTTGATAGCAAAATTAAGCAAGTAACGTAGTGTAGCAACAGAAATTTTACGTCATAAAATAACGAGATGTATTGAAATAGTTATGAACCAAAGTACCAAAAGGAAACGGGAAAAGATAAAATACTGCATTTGAACGTCTTTTAAAAATAATGAGAGCTAATTTTCCTTTCGCAAATATTTTTTAATGTTTAAAATAAAGGTGATAAAGTGTTATGATCTATTTGATTCAAACTACTTGATGAGTTTTATCTATTTATCTTAGTTAAAACACTCCAATATATAGATGTAAGTTGAAATTTCCTTAACACACACCTCCACCCCCACCCCCCGTGTACAGCCTCAGGTGCATAAGCATAAAAACATTTAACTTAATAACACGAACATTTAACGATATTAAAGATCCTACCAATACGTTTGTGAAGAGTAAAAGGTGGTCCAACTCCTGCAATTGTTCCAGCTTTTATATGAAATATATAATCAGAGTATGGATTCAAGTTTTTCATTTTCCAAACAGTAGTGTTTGAGGATAAAGACGAGCTTGTAACTTTTCTGACTTTGGCATGATGTATTTCTTCATAAACAGTGACTTCATAAAGCAAAAGGATGCCATTTTGATCCTTTATATCTGGTGCTTTCCATTTTATTTCAATTGATCTTGAAGTTATATCTCTCATGGTTACATATTTAGGTGGGGCAGATGGTGCTGTATTAATTGAATAGTGTTTCACAATTTACTGATGCACAATACTCAATATCAACAAGTGTCAGTATACTTTGAAAATCAGTTACCTGCTTCTCCGGTGCGGAAATCAATGCAACGAGGAGGACCATAACCCAAAACATTTCTTGCTTCCACTTGAATATTATACAATGTATACGGCTTCAAATTGTCTTCAATATGATAAAGTGGCGTTTTAGGGAAGGAAATGAAATTGCTACACGGTGTATTTAAATGTTTTTCTTTTATACAAAGTCTGTAGCCGAGGATATCACCATTTTGCAATGTTTCTTCGGGAGGCTTCCAGAATATTTGCAGAATTTTTGGACTAATTTTTGTCGCATATAAAGCAGTTGGTGGTCCAGATGGAGCTAAGGGATGAATTATTTAGAAAATGAATAATTGACAGCAAGAAAATATTTTTTCTTAAGAACTTCATACTGCATAGCATGTTTGAGTTTTTTACTTACTAGAAGTAAGTAAGTGTTTTTCTATTGATAACTGCTTTTGGTCCCCAGCCTATAATTGTACTCGCCATTACTGCCAACATATATTCTGTATTTGGTTTCAAGCCGTTGATACTTTTGTTATATGATTTTCCATTTGTGATGTAAGTCACTTTGCTACAAATTTGGCCTAAGTTATTCTCTTGATAGCACACACCATAATTGGTAATGATTCCATTTCGACGATGCTCTTCAGGTGGTGACCAGGCTAATTCCAAGCTTGTGGCAGTAACATCTTTTACCATTATCAACTGTGGAGGACCACTAGGTCCTAGCAGAATAAGAAACAATAAGTCAAAATGAAATAAACAGAAAATTTACAAGTGGGTTGAAGCACTATAATTATAAATAAATTAATATTTTTGTACTCTGCAACAAGCTGTAACGACATAAATATTTAGGCTTGTCAATGCTTTCTTTTAAATCAAAGACATACTGTTTAACTCGAGCAGCTGAGTGCTCTAAATTACTTTGTTCCTTCACATATATAAGAACTTCCCATAAATTAATGGGTTACTTTTCCAAAATGACAATAATTCACTTTTTAATTAGCATTCTGTATCAAACAAAAAGAATTGATTCTTTGGCACTCTTCCAAAAATTGTTAATTAAAAATTGTTAATTGTTAATTGTTAATTAAAAATTGTTAATTGTTAATTATCAGTTGATGTTCACGTCGTTATTACAAACAAGGAGAACTCCCAAGATTTCCTCTATATTTCTCGATGTGAAGCTTAGGTGGATCAATTCTTAAATTCATTTATCCGAGAGTGTTACCACGTTACTCACGTGATTCCTGTGTTGTACTGTGAAAAATAAATGGGGGTCCATATCCTGCAATGGTTCCTGCAGAAACTTCCAGATGATAATCAGTGTAAGGATTCAAGTTACTTATAGTGTAGGAGTTTGTAAGATAGTCCACATATCCTGCTGTCTTACAAGGAATATTGGAAATTAACTGTTTGTAGCAAAGTCTGTAACCAAATAGTTTTCCATTTTTAACAACAGAAGGTAGCAAGTTCCATTGAAATGTAATTGAGTTTGAAGATGCATTGAGAACAATAGCTCTAGTAGGTTTCATTGCTGAAAAAGTAAAAATACCAGAGAAAATATATCAAGTAGGGCTGTTTATTTCTTATTACTGTCATTTAGACAATTATTTTACTCAATAGATAGACATCTTTTACCTGGTGCACAACCATAAATCTCTATTCCCATACATGGATGTAAACCAACAAACGTGTGAACTTCAAAACGTAGAAATCTTGTTACGATTGACTCATCAAAATAATGTTGGACTTTTTGAACTTTACCATTGTTTCCTTCGAGCAACTATGAAATCACCGACGAAACAGGAGCAAATTACAGTTAACTCTATTATTTACAACATTTTCTTAAGTCAGCATTCATGCATATCATTAAAACAATTTGCCCAAAAAAACAATACAGATCATCTTTCAAATTGTTAAAGAATTGTTATGAATTATTTGCTGAAAAACTTTATTCTACATTACCGTACTCCCGCCAACGCGAACGTATTTCCACTTTAAGTTGTCAATACTGTAAGATACTTTGTAATGCTTTATCCAACTTTGCCAATGTTTCTTGTGACCTCTCGTTGCTACTCCTGAGGTCTTAAGAGGTCCATTTAAATCCACTTGTAAAAATAAATTTTTCTAGTTCCCTGATCACACCACGGCACGTGATTATCAATTCGAGCTTGATATGGCTCGTAGTTAGGACCTAGGAAGCCGCTTGCACTAAAACTGCTGTCGCTAATACGACCAGATCTATGTAGAACAGGTAGGTCACATTGGCCTATACAAGAAATCACTGCTTTATGAAATGTTTCATAACAATCCATATGTACAACATATATCATATTATTTATGTATATGTTTATTGATTAGTAAATGTTTGATCTTCCCTTCAAGGAAAAATGTAAAGATGCTATGGGAGAAAAACATACTTCTGCATTTAACATAATTTTTTTATCAAACATTCAAAACAACAGCGCTATGATATTGATTACTTTACTAACAATTATTGTAAGTTTATAATTCATCCCCGCTAAATTGAATTTATTAATTTCCAGCTTACCTGACGTCTTTTGAATGAAACCTGGAGGTCCTAATCCCACAGATGTTGAAGCTTTTATAGCTATGGTATATTCTTTGGATGGAGTTAGACCAATAAAAGTATGTTTTTTTACTTTGCTGTTCACTTGAGTTGTTCTGTTACATGACGAATGATAACCATGTTCACGAATACATACAATGTAATAAATAATTACGCCATTTTGAAACTCATTCTTTGGTGGTAACCATGAAAAACTGATTACTGATACGTTTACAAAGTCCACAGTTAGCTTTGTTGGTGGTCCTGTAGGTGCTACAGTATTACAGAAACAGTAGTAAATTCATTGATTCTACATGTATGTTTTATATAAAAATGTGAAACTTATTTCATTTTTATTATTAATAAATTTAAAATGGAACGTAAAACCTATTTTTGGAACATTTGTATTTTGTTAATGAAGTTGCTTTTAACTCTTCACTTTATATGTATATATAAACACTTATGTATATATAACACTTATGTATATATAATACTGGTGACTCTACAATACTATCCATACAATGTGTAACCGTACGTCCTGTGTCCCAAGTGCAGGAGTCACCATTTTACAATGGTGATAGCCGGGAGGGCACATTGTTATACACTTTGTATATATATATATATATATATATATATATATATATATATATATATATATATATATATTACGGATAATAATCCTGGATAAAAGAGCACTCAATATTCTATATATTAGAAGAGCGAAGAGCGTAAGATAAATGCAACTTTGCAGGCTGTTGCCTGAAGATCGCCCTACGTAATATATATATATATTACGAGTCTACAATACAATCCATAACTGTGTAACCGTACGTCCTGTGTCTCAAGTGCAGGAGTCACCATTTTAATATGGTGATAGCCGGGAGGGCACATTGTATATACACTTTGTACACTTTGTATATTACGCTCACTGTGCGTGCGTAGTTTCAGCACTGTCGGATTGTGTAGAGAGTCTCATATGGAGACGTTCACCGTGTTCGCGATATGCAAAGCTCACCTTTATAGGTTTGAGCACTGTGGTGACTCTACAATATAATCCATACAATGTGTAACCGTACGTCCTGTGTCCCAAGTGCAGAGGTCACCATTTTAATATGGTGATAGCCGGGAGGGCACATTGTATATACACTTTGTATATATATATATATATATGTTTGCTTATATTATCAAATAGTGTAAATTTTTTTTGATAGGCTTTTTGACAGCTATATATACTGCATTAACAAATACAATGATAAATACAATCTGTCCTACCTGATTCTTTGGTTCTTTGAGTAATGTTGGCTTGAGGACCGTTGCCAACCTTAGTAGCAGCAGATATTTTGATGGTATACTGCACGTAAGGTTTTAAACCAGTAAATGAAAATGATGTTTGCGTAAATGGAACAATCACTTCATGCGTGCATGTTGATAAAGCCTGCAGGCTAATGCAAACCGAGTAAGAGGTTAAAATACCATTAAGTAGTGAGCGGTTTGGTGACGACCATGTTGCGTTGATAAGATTTTTAGTGTACGATGTGACAGTTAAATTACAAGGTGTACCCGACGGTTCTGAATGAATAGTAATGCGATTTAATGTTTTCATCTCAGACGAATGCAAAAAGCTTGATAGAACTGAATTAAAATGTAAGACGTGGAAATTAATGATTTTAAATGACTACAACCAAACGTACTTTAACAAAGTGTAAGCTTATTTGTTTCATAAAACATTCTTATGATGTCGACTGACTTTAGATTTAATCTTTTCTCACCTGCCTCTAATGTTGCAGTATTTACAATAGCTGGTGGACCGTATCCAACATTTGTTGCAGCTAGAATTCTGAGTTGGTACTTGGTGTAAGGCTTTAGGTTGGAAAAGGTGTAAAGCATGTTATTGTCGGTCGTATTTTGCATTGAACAGTGACCGGTAGAAGTACTGGCCGTTTTAATGCAAATTGTATAGTTGGTAATTCTTCCATTGCGCAATGCACGATCTGGAGGAAGCCAAGAAGCAGTGATAGTCGTGGCACTCACACGAGATACGTGAAACTTCATGGGTGGACCATCAGGAGCTAAAATAAATAAATTGTTATGATTGGCGGACAAATAGATGAGTTTTTGCATTCTATAATTTTTACTGTAGAATTAAAGACTGAGAATATTGAATCAAATAAATATATCAAGCATTTCACGAATGAAATTACTATCTAGAATATTTTACCTGCAGGCAATGTTTTTTTAGATACAACTCTGGCAGGTCCAAATCCTTTTGAAGTCGCAGCTTTTATTTGAAACTCGATGCTTTGATATGGTTTAAGACCAGTTAATTCAAACCAAGTGTTTTTTGTTATGGTTTCGTCATTGCAAAGTTTTGATGAGTTGGATGAATCCATAATGCGATGGCATATAGAATATTTTAGTATGATACCGTTTCGTTCGTTTTCTCGAGGCTCTGACCAAATCACAAATATTGATGAAGTATTAAAGCGAGGAAAAGAAACGTTTAACGGACCACCAGATGGCTCTGCAACAAAATGCATAATTTTACGTCTAAATTAAAAAAACTATCTATCTTTAATCTAACCTGCTTCTAAAGTAGTAACTGTTACATTATTTGAGTAGGGTCCATGACCTAAAGCAACAACTGCTCTAATCTTTATTTCATATTCCATATTCGGTTGCAGACCGTTTATCGCCGTTTCAACAAGACTAGACTCAACAGAAACAAAAGAGCAAGATATGCTTTTTGATTTAAAATAGCAAATTTCAAAGTATGTTATCTTTCCAGTGTATTCGTCTGTGTCAGGTGCACGCCATTGATTTTCAAGACTGTCGAGTTTTTAACAGTCACACTGTTTAGGACAGGTGCCTTTTTAAGTTCTAAAACATTTAAAAAAAACAGACAGATTTTATATGCATGCTTCCTTATCATTTCATATGACACAGAAATAATTTCATCACCTTTAAGTAAGGGAATTTTAGTTTTGATATCAATTGTTGCATTTATTTCATTTGATGTTTTGAATCCAACCAAGGAATAGCATTAAGCAAGTTAGAACCTCCGTAACCATAAAGACATATCATACTCCATGCAACTTCTCTAGTATAGTTCAATAATGCATTTGGGCAAATTCTTCGCAAAAGCATTTCCTGTGTAATAGTTATTTCCTTGATAATGTACCACCATGAGAACAATAGAAGGCTTAGAAACAGCAAATAGAAACTTTGCCATTTTTTGACTTGAGCTTGGGTCGTCGTGTGTTTCAAATGACTTACGCATTACTTCAATGCCTTACAAGGAAATGTAAACGAAATTTTGTCATACTTAATGGCTGATGCATAATTAAGGTATGATGCATGAATAATCACCCCTTTAATTAACCTTATGAATTGCATTGCAAAAGGCAAATACTGCATCTGTCAACCTTTTATAAGTACATAAATGCTAATTATAATATTTTGAGGGCACGTAAATTAGTATGTATTTTAAATTGCAAATAGGTTTAACCTAAATAATATATATATATACAGATATATTTCCATATAAAGAGCTCTTAGTGACGATTTAGCTTTAACATCATTTGCATAAGGTGACATCATTTGCACAACATAAAAAAGATTTAGTTTGAACATCGTTTGCTGGTCCCTTAAAGGACAAAGCACCTCGGAGGATCGATAATTAGTGGGGTGCCTCATACTTATATATTCATGATATGCGGGCTTAAGCTCTCTTGAAATCCATTCTTTCCTAAGGAACATCACATGAAGATATGAATATGAACCCCCAATTATCAATCCTCCGCGATGCGTGAGGATACATGCAACATAAATTTCAGATTGTTATTTTAGTACTGTACATAAAAATATTTCTCCAAATAATAGTCCACCAAAGTTTAAGAATTAAAACATATATATTTTTTAAGATATGGAGGGTTAAAGTTGGTGCTTTACTGATAAAGGATTAAAAATGTCCGACAAGCTAACGACAAAGCTGATATTAGCAAAACGCGGCAAATTGCGTGCCTGGTTCAAAATGTATTGGTTAGTTCTTTGCATGCATTAACAGCACGACATTTTGGCATTGAAAATATGGTTTATTGTGCCGCATTAGTTGTAAAAACGGTTCTTCTAAGAACCACCAAACGCAAAAAAATGTTTCTTTTTTTGTTTCCCAAAAACTAACGCAAACGAGATATCTGGACAGAAAAAATCCTAGGAAAAAATTTGAAGCCAACAAAAAGCTCAAAGTTGTGCTTGCAACATTTCGACAGTTCGTTCTTGGTGCAAAATTTTAAGGCGATGCAATCAGTTAAATGGACAGCAGGACGGAAAGGGAAGTCATGGGTTTGTGTTCGCATCCCAGGAGCAGGCATTGAGAAGGAATATATTAATTCTCAGTGTAAGGTGTGAAGTAAAGAAGTGGAGCCTGTTGGGAACTCAACAAGTGGTTGTAATCGTTATCGCGGAAAGAATATAGAAGAAGGCAATAAGATGGATTTGAGAGAATTATTATTATTACTATTATTATCATTTTCGTTATTATTAATATTATTATTATTATTATTATCATTATCATTATTATTATTATCATCATCATTATTATTATTATTATTATTTATTTTTTTTATCAGCTAAAATAAAACGTATTTTATTATGATCATTATTATCTATTACAAATATAAATGTTAAAAAACTAAATCAAATATGACTAAAATCAGTGTTTAAAAATATCCTTGATAAAGGGACAGTCAAATGTAAAGACAACTTTCCCAATAACCTTGGTCAATATTTAAAGTATGTTCGCGAGTTGAGGCAGATCGACTTCATCGTATCGCAGTAATTGCTGACCTAATCAGTGCGAAGACAGTTTACAACGCATCCACGCTAGCGTGATGCCATATTGCAGCTCTTTTGTGCCAGCAGATCAGCTAGCCGTTTATAAGCAATTGCCGTCTCTTTCCCCATACCACCTGATGTTGAAAAGACCAGTGGTGTAAAAGCAGCATATTCAATCTCTCTTACTCGATCACCATCCAGGAAATAAGAGATAGTTCTACGCCAACAATGCAAAGGAAGCTAGATATACTGAGCGAAAAAGGATCGTCATCATGGTTAAGTGTACTTCCACTACAACATCAAGGCTTTAATTTGAACAAAGGGGAATTTCGAGATGCCTTAAGTTTATGTTATGGATGGCAATTGAAAAATACCCCTCTGCACTGCATTTGTGGAAAGGCTTTTGCAACCGATCACGCGATGATATGTCCTCACGGTAGTTTACAAATAGTGAGACATAATGAAGTTCGAGATATAACAGCACAGTGGATGGCAGAAGTTTGCTCGACAGTTGTGAAAGAGCCACAATTACAACCTCTTTCTGGGGAAGTGATATTACCTCGTACAGCCAATAGACAAGAAGAAGCGAGACTAGATATTCGTGCTAAAGGTTTTTGGTCTAGACAGCAAGATGCATTTTTTGATGTAAGGGTATTTCACCCAAACGCGTCGAGCTACCAAAACACCAATCTACCTGCACTCTATCGTCAGCATGAGATGGCTAAGAAAAGGGAATATGGTGATCGAGTAAGAGAGATTGAATATGCTGCTTTTACACCACTGGTCTTTTCAACATCAGGTGGTATGGGGAAAGAGACGGCAATTGCTTATAAACGGCTAGCTGATCTGCTGGCACGAAAGAGAAAGCTGCAATATGGCATCACGCTAGCGTGGATGCGTTGTAAACTGTCTTTCGCACTGATTAAGTCGATCTGCCTCAACTCGCGAACATACTTTAAATATTGACCAAGGTTATTGGGAAAGTTGTCTTTACATTTGACTGTCCCTTTATCATGGATATTTTTAAACACTGATTTTAGTCATATTTGATTTAGTTTTTTAACATTTATATTTGTAATAGATAATAATGATCATAATAAAATACGTTTTATTTTAGCATTAATATTATTATTATTATTTATTATTATTATTATTATTATTATTATTATTATTATTATTATTATTATTAATAATAATAATAATAATACCTTTCAGGGTGAAGAGACAAAAGTGAGTAGAAAAAGTGAGTGAAAAAGCTAAGAAAAGAGGTATTTTAAAAAAATAAATTGCATGGCAAATATATGAAGGATGTTTTAGAAGATGTTTTTAGAAGAGAAGTGGAGTCGGTTGGGCACTTGGCTCACTTGGTTGGGCACTTGGTCCAATAAGATGGGTTTGAGAGAATAGAAAAGAATGAGTAGAGTGTGCAGATGTATGATATAAAGAGGTTCCAGAAAAGGTGAGAATATCGAAGAACTGAAAATTTGGAATATGGTGGGATAGAGTGTCAAAAAAACACAGAAAATGGAAAATAATAGTCTAGATGTTAGTGTGTTGGATCGAGCAACTCGGATATGGACCAGTGCTGATATGGCTGTGTCGTGAGACAAGAATTAAATGTGAAAAGAAGATGAAAATTATCTATTTTCCCTCCTCTTACAAAAGAAATAAGAAGAATGCACAGTGTTTGAACAACAAAGATGATTCCTCTTGTTTTGGATTGTTTGGGGCTTGTCTCAAATAGATTAGAGAGTTATTTGAGAGAGCTAGGTATCGTGAATGTTTTGGGTGGAATGTAAAACTCTGCGATAATTTGGTCAACCCAAATTTTGCAACCAAGACTGTTACTTTACACTTTTAAATTTGATACTAACAGGTTTGTTTCTTCACCAAAAAACATAAAATTATTGTTATTATATTATACGTAATAATATACATTGTGGATGATATAGATTGTGGACGTTTGTTGATGCCTCGGCACTCTGAGACAAGAATGTGAACGCAAAAGTGAAGGAGAAAATTAACAACTATTCTCCCATGACTCAAGAAACTAGAAGGATGCTTCGACTTTCAAAAAAAGTGTGCTTTAATGGTGGGTTCTTTGCAGCTTGTCTCAAGTAGACTGGAAATTTACCTAAAAGTCTAGGAATACGGGACATTTCGCATGGCTTGCAGGCATTTTCAGTCATTGGAGCAACCTTCATTTCGCAGAAAATACTTACTTTTAAGCTCCAGGTGTGGAGCCAAGGGCTTTAAGCTCCAGATATGGAGCCAAAGTAAAAATTACACTAATCGAGTGAATTAAATTTCTTCACAAATTAATTCTTATACAGAAAAACAAAAATTATCATCGTTAAATTGACTCACCTGTTTTGGGATCGAGTATAATAAAGTTGTGGCCAGCATTTATAAAGTTATTTTGTTTTCCTTTGATTGTAATTGTCGAATAACGCTGAGTTCCAACTCTGTACAAGATGGAATGCTTCATTCGCGAAACCAACTCAACGTAAATTTGTTTGTAGCCTACACAGAATTTTTAATTTGAATAAATAGGAGATAAGATGAGCTGTTTGAAAGGGTGGGGGTTATAGACAATGTTGCAACCAGATTTAATAGCTATAGTAGTTGAAATGTACGATAAATATTAACAGCATCAACTTTATCCATGAATGGAAAAACTCTACTTGTACAAGAGATTTTATAGATTTTATAATTTGCTATGTTAATTTTATAATGAAATATATCGACCGTAAATGCTTGCTTTAGAGCCTCTCCCACTTTAGCGCCACTTTTGGTTAAGCGCAAAACTCAGAATCGTGAAAAGATATTCAACAAC